GGGGGTGTCATCACCCCCCCTCAGCGTGTGAAGAGGAACTTAACGGCCACTCATCGGTCCGCTGGACCCTTCTCACTCCCGTTAGCTGAGTGGCCGCGACTGGTGTACCACTGCTCCCCATTTGATGGAGGCGGCCCTGGCTAGCTGCCGCCTTAGCTCCCACCACGGCCGCCTCCACTGAGCCTTAAGCCGTCAACAGTCCACTTGTCAAATGTTCTGTTGCCGACGGCCTCAGTGAAGGCGTACAACACGAGTGGCGACTGTTAGCGGTTGCGCTCTATTGGTCTCGGGTTCACGCCGTGTGGCCTCCACTTGGTGGTGAGAAGATTAGGGCCCCCCTGGAGCATTGAATCACGCTGTGAAGGGGTATTAGATTTGGTTTGGTCGAGCACTAAGTTAAAATTTCCTTGAATTAAAATTAAAAAATGCTTTTGGGTCTGCCGCGAAATTTTCATATTTGTAGCGGTTGTGATTAAAAGAATTGAATTTAATCTACTCCTTGAAATGCGGCTGCATATGTTTTGTAAATATATTTAATCACTGTATTTGATTGTTGCGTCTGTTTGCTGAAAGGAAAGTTTTAATTCATTTGAAATTGAATGTTGCGCTATTTGGAAAATAGTGTATATGTTTTGTGATAGTGTTTAATCATTTTGCTTTGTGAAAATGAAGGCTGAAATTAGATAACCCTATTTGTGCCGAAAGGAATAAGGAGTCGTTCTTTCGTTGGTTTTCGCATTTGTAGGCACTGTCTAAGATACCTATTTGAAATGAGAAATAGGGCTGTCTCTTACGTTTATTGTTTTGTTTAATTTGCAAATTGACCTATGTGCATCGGTGATTAATTTGGTTGAATTAATTCTGTAGTTGAACATTGATGCTTTTGAAAAATTAGTTGAAATATGAGCATAGGACTACTTGTCTAACAGGCTAGCTAGTTTTGGAGATTATCAGATTGAAATCAGCTGTCGCACTATTTAGCAAATGATTATATGGTGGATGGCTTGGTTAGGCTTACTTGTTGAAAATTCATACTAGGGACTATCTGTGCGTTTCGTTCGGCTCTCCACAGACGACGTTCACGTGGAATTGTAGGTGCTCTCTGCACTGAAGCTTTGGAGGCCACTCTGGGCCGCTTCGTGTCGCGTCGCTGTTTGCAGACCTGATCCGGTCGGATTGCGGAACTAATCATAGGAGCACAGATAGATGTTTGAAGGAGGTCGTCGGACTTCTGTCTAGGAATAGGACTTATTTATGGGCTGCGATGTCAAGGAAGGGCATCCGGTTCAACCCTCCGGCTTGCCCACATTGGGGCTGTAAATTTGAGGCGTTGGTTAGGGTTGCAAGACCTGATGAGGCACCTAAGGTGGTCTAGTTTGGTTGTAGATTCGGTCTTGTAACTTGCCATCGCGACCTTGTCCCGCTGACCAGTTTGCTCGCGGACCTAAATCCTTATGTCCGGGACTGGGGTTTGTTCGCGCCAACCGCTAATTTCAAGAATTAACGCGAGAGGGCGCTCGGCGCGGTGCATTCATACCGGTTTGACTTTCGGTCGTGCGTAGAATGCGCAAGCGCAGCAGTCGTCTGTCAGCGGTGCTAACGTTAGCACACTGTCAATTTTGTTAGGGAACTCGGAATAATTAGGCGCGGATAGTAAATATTCTGTCTAGGATTTGTGACGCGCATTCCGTGCTAGAGAGCTTCCCAGGGACTCATTGTGTCCGACTCAGAATCTGTTTAAGTGCATTCGACAATATTAGCTAGTGCGGCCTTTGATATTCTAGAAATAACTGTTGCTACGCGAAACAGTAGTGACCTTTGATCCGGACACTCCCTGTTCATTTTGTGTGTTAACCTTATAACAACCGAGAGTTATTGGCTTCTGTAAGTTAGTTAATCGTACGATAGATTTAATGGACTGTCATCGTGACGTACGAGGAAAGTGACTGTGAACAACGCCGCGGAAAGTTCCCTCAATTTGAAGCGGTGTCGACGCCCGGGCTGCTGCCGACGGCCAAGGTTTACTCGGGTCAATCACCATCAGTCACACCCAGATACACATCACATCACCTTAATTCCCTTGCACTACACAACCACATGCGACCTGACCGACTCCGGAGGGACCAGTCGCCTTGGATATAGGTAAGTAAGCTCCGTCTAATATTCTCCCGGTCGAATGGCCGTAGTATAGAACGCTCCCCCATATAGTCTAGTGTAATTAGAGAGTTTGCACTTTGGCCTGGAGGAGGCCTGACCTACGTCTGCTCGTGAAGTCTCCGCTTATGAGCCCGAATGATTGAACCCTTGCTAGAGCAGCCATAGGGCGTAACATCGACTTAATTTGAAAATTAAAGAAGTGTCATCTGCAAATAATATTATATCATGGTTATCCCCTACTATATAAGGTAAGTCATTAATGTATACAAGAAACAGAAAGGGGCCGAGAATTGAGCCTTGAGGCACGCCCATTTGTACCATCGATCCGGAAGAGCTCATATTATTAATGACAACTCTTTGCGTTCTCTTACTTAAATATGAAATAATTAATTTAAGAGCATCACTTCTTACACCGTAGTGTTGAAGTTTCCTGATTAATGTTTCATGGTGAACACAATCGAAGACCTTGGATGGGTCACAAAATATACCCAAAGCATCCTGTGAATTCTCCCATGCCTTAAAGATATATTTAATCAGCTCAACACCGGCATCAGTTGTCGAGCGACCCCTTGTGAAACCAAATTGATTTTTATGAAGTAAATTATTTATATAAAAAAAAAATTACATTTGATCAAGAACAAGTTTTTCAAAAATCTTACTAAGTGTTGGTAGTACAGAAATAGGTCTAAAATTGACGGGGTCTAATGTACTACCAGATTTAAATAAAGGTATTACTTTACTATGCTTCATTAAATCAGGAAACACACCAGATTCGACGCTTGTATTAAATATAGTGGCTAAATACGGTGCTATAATATCTATTATAGATAAAATAACTTTAACGGAAATCTTCCATAAGTCTGCAGTTTTCTTAACATCAATAGTTTTAAAATATTGAACGATATCTTTTGGCAGTGCTCTATGGAATTTAAAAGTATTTGAACAAGCCTTTACATTTTGTTTGAGCAATGATTCGGCGACAGCAGGAGAAGAATTTAATGATTTTGTTGTCAAAAAAGGAACATCAGTAAAATGTTTCTCAAAAGCCATAGCAACTTCTTGATCAGATCGCGTTAAATTATTGTTAATATTCAATTGAGAATCCGGTTTGACCTTGCCCGTTTCACTTTTTATTATTCTCCAGGTCATTTTAATTTTGTCGGATGCAGTTTTAATTTTGTTGCTTAAATATAAAGCCTTAGTAGTAGAGCACACTTTTTGAAATATTTTAAAATATGTTTTTACATAATCTCTAAATATAACACTACTATATGATCTTTCATCATATAGCTCGCATCATCAGCATCATAACCTTTGCCTATTTTTATAAATTCCTACTGTTGCTCATTAAAAGAGAAATCTTTAGAAGTAAATATCCTACTAAATTCACAACTTATAATTTATTTATTTTTTTATAGGAGAGGGGGCAAACGAGCATGCGGCTCACCTGTTGGTAAGTGACTACCGCCGCCCATGAACAACTGCAACACCAGGGGAATCGCAGATGCGTTGCCGGCCTTTTAAAAAGGAGTACGCTCTAGAAGGTCCCTAAGTCGTATCGTATACCATATACCATACAAATAATTAGCACTATTTTTTAATTAAATGATAGAAGTCTTTTTATTATATTACTTCTAAACCTCTCTAAGCGATGTTCATTTGTTGGAACAAACACAACTTTATTATTTTTCTGTTTTTTGTCCACAGTGATCTGAACTTAAATTTTGTATAATTGATTTATGCAAGGGCTTAACATCTGTAAAAATGTTATCTATACAGGTCGCACTAGTCCCAGCAATACGTGTTGGTTCTAAGAATAAATTAACAAGATTATACGATTTAAACAATGAGCTAAAATTAATACTAATGGAAGAAGTGTCAAGGATATTGATGTTAAAATCTCCACATATTACAACAGACTTGTTCTGTTTACTAAGTTTGAGCAAAACTTCTTCCACAATCCTTTCAAAATAGTCATAAGTAGCACATGGGGTCTGTAAACACTTACAACAATGAGGTGCTCGAGCTTGAAACAAGCTATTTCTACAGTTCGCTTAAAAGAGAGGCTCACTATATCCTTACGTTCTTTATATAATAATGATTTATCTGCTAGTATTAAGGAGCCACAACGTAAACTATTTTCTCTATTGAAGGAACTGACCACCTGGTGATTTCTGAAATTAAACATGAAATTATAAGCTTTAGACAATTTCCAGTAATACAACGGATATGTACGTTGTTACTATTTAAAAACAATTCAACTTCTAATTCTTTTCCCACATTGCCTATTTATTTGTGGGCTGCATTCAAAGTTAATTAAACTCTTATTATTGCTAGAGATTGCCTCTATTGTCGTATTTACTAATTTAAATTAGTTGGAACTGATTCCAAATTAATGGTCAAATAATTATCCTGCCCAATAAAAGCAGTCTTGGTAGCCAAAAACTTGGCTGAGTTAAAAAGTAAATAATAAGATAGCACGGTTCCCCGACATAACAGCCCCGACAAAACAGCTCACCGACAAAACAGCCCCCGTCAAAACAGGCCCCGACAAAACAGCCCGTAAACAGGTAGTATAATATTATTACTTTGCTAGTTGCGTTTATAATCGTGCTTTTTATCTTCAGAGTATATTACATAATGAAAATATAATATAATAATAATAATAATTTCTGTGAATATATTGTGGAATTTTATATTCAGCTTTCAATTTAATTAACTTACCTATTATGAGTAGGTTCCAAGAAGGGGGGATTTACGTTTCGGCCGTTAGCAGTAATATATAAGAACATCGGGACACACAAAATAACTATAGCCTTGTAGAATTTTGTCTGGTGAAGATCATGGAACTTATTCAATCGCAGAAAGGCAAAGATTTACTGTTGAGCGATGGGTACCGGTATCGTAAGGCGAGAACTAATACCGATGGCAGTGTATCATGGAGATGCGCCGAGACACCTTGCCGAGGACGTGTCAAAGTGTCATTGGAAAATGTCGTGGTAAATGTGACTCGACACAGTCATGCTCCAGATCCAGCTAAAAATGAAGCAAAAAAATCTGTGTCTAATATGAAAAGGCGAGCAGCGGACACCCTTGAGAAACCAAGGCAGTTGATTCAAGGATCGACAAGAGGGATAAATTTGGAATCATCAGTCCATTTGCCATCGTACAATGCATCTCAGAGAACTGTTGAGCGTATTCGGCAAAGGCGTGAAGTGTCGTGCCCAAACCCAGGCTCTGTTGCCGATATTAATATTCCTGTTGCACTACAAGTCACTTCAAGAAATCTAAATTTCTTGTTATGGGATTCTGGACAGAATGATCCTCATCGCATCTTCATGTTTGGTACTGAAGAAAATTTGGAAGTTTTAGAGGAGCACCGGCACTGGCACGTAGATGGAACCTTTAAAGTAGCCCCACAATTATTTTTACAAGTATTTACCATTCATGCATTGGTAGATAACCGTTCTATTCCGTTGATATACGTGCTTCTACAGGATAAACGAGAAGAAACATATGTTCGAGTGTTTCAAAAATTGATGGAGTTGAAACCCACTTTAAATCCAATAAGCTGCTTATCCGACTTCGAGAAAGCGATCCAAAATGCAGTTTGCCAGGTATTTCATGGTGTTCAGGTGATGGGTTGTTAATTCCACTTAGGGCAGTGTTTATGGAGGAAAATCCAAGAGCTACATTTTGTAGAAGAATATCGCAATGACGAAAATGTGAGAATGCATTTGAAAATGTTACTAGCGTTATCTTTTGTCCAAGAGGGCGACGTAATCACTGCTTTTGAGGAGCTAACCGAAAGCTGTCCACGAGAAATTGATGCAGTCATCGATTACTGGGAAGATACTTATATAGGACGGCAAAGAAGAAATCGGAGAGCAGATCCAAAATTTCCTATTCATGTATGGAATGTTCATGATAGAGTGCACCAGGGCCTTCCGCGTACAAACAACTCTGTAGAAGGATGGCATCATGCTTTCCAACACACCGTTGACTGTCACCATCCATGTATTTTCAAATTAATAGACCACTTCAGGAAGGAACAAGACCGGGTAGAAATAGAGTTGGAACGTTTTCGAGCCGGCTTCAGAAATCCCGAAGCTTCCAAAAAGAAGTATGTGCAACTTAATCGTCGATTGGAAACTCTTATGGGAAATTATAACAACGACGACCTTTTACCGTATCTCCGTGGAATTTCCAACAATCTGACATTATAAATTGATATATTATTATATAACTTCATTTATTTTTATTTTATAATAATTATTAATAATTGTAACCTTTGTAATTAATAACCTTTGACGAATATAGTTTGTTGAATTTTGTTTGTAAATATACATTATAATATAATTTTATACCTACATTTATTTTTGTTTTTATTTCGTGTGTAGACGATGCAATAGTTTTGTTGAAAACAAAAAATACATAAAATGAACCAAAAAAAGTCACGTAAAGTATTAACATTCGTTTTACACCACTTACAATTTTAAATTTGATATCATTTGTAGAAAACATTATTCAGATACATTTGCAATAGTTGGAATGAACAAATTGTAAAGTATAAATTTTTATAAGGAATAATTTCTTGCTAAAAGTCACAATAGAAAAGTTTCCCATATATCGCCAACTGAAGTAGATACACGGTATAAGTATAGTTATAAATTCTATAGATATGTATGGTATTTATTTTGACTTGGGTTGTTTTGTCGGGGGCTGTTTTGACGGTGGCTGTTTTGTCGGTGGGCTATTTTGTCGGGGCTGTTTTGTCGGGGGCTGTTTTGTCGGGGCTGTTTTGACGGGGCACGAGATAGCACATTTGCTACCAGTCTTAAATTATATTTGGATAGGTAATAGCTATCTTTTGTCCAAAACTTTTGTATTAAATTATTAATATCAACTAAATGAAATTTGTCACAATTATCTTTACAATTATATTTCAAATTCAAATTATTGTTACATATTAAATAATTTATTTTTATATTTAATTTATGTCTTAGATTATTTTCCTGTGGCAATCCCTGTATGTAAAGCAGTATGAACAAGACAATTTTGTGTAAATTTAAGTTATTAAGTTGTGTTCCGTATTGGATTTCTTTTTCATTTTTTTTCATTATTGTTTCGGTATAATTTATAACTAAAAGTAGTGCAATTTGGAAGGAAAACATTTTGTCTTACGCTAACATTTCGAATAAATATTTTTTCTTTGTGGCAAACACTCTTTAACTTTGAAGCGAGCAACCTTTTTTTCAACTACACCCGCAACGACCGCTAGTAACGGCCAACTTCCTCGTCAACCCGAGCACCAACACTTTTGACAGTACACATTACGTGCGGGTTTCGTTACCAACAGTGGATAAGATCTCATTCCCCTGCTCCATCGAATACTTAGGCAGTTTTTCATACCTGACCTGTGGATAAAAGAACAATAGTGGACACATTTGGCCAGAAGACAAATCACACCGGGCCCGGTAAACGTCGGGTAGCTCAGAAATTACCCAGGTGCGTGTTTGCCATGTCTTATGTGTACATAACATAATTATTTTTAGATCGTTGCGAGCCAAATCTTTCCTTTCCAATGCAAGTGCTTTCGTGATGTCTTAATAAGAGTGTTATCTTTAGTTTCACACACACTCTAATTTTTAAATTTAACGTACATACGTACTTTCACCGACGTGTCGTATAGGCCATCTTTGCACCGCAAAATGCCGAATCCAGCACGAGTTGAAGAATTTATGTGTGATGTTTCGTTTCATACGAGCAGGACATGTTCGAACGCGATATTATTTTAGATGATTTGAAAAGCACATTACTGTTCGCAACGACCGATGAACAAAAGTTCCGTTCGCGAACTAAAGATCTTACTGCACAACAAAGAAGTTTAGTAAATTACAAACAAAAATTGAAAAATGTCTAATAAAGACAAAAATGTTCAACAAAGATGAACAAATTATAATTCGTAACGATTTTGATGACGCATACTACGCTATTATCACGCATCTGAGCAAATTAAAACAAGATGACGAACAAGTTAGGCGTATGAGTAGGTCTTTTAACTCCGAATCGTTTGCACAATCCCACAATCCAAAATTACCTAAACTTCCCTTGCCCAGCTTCTCAGGTAATAGTACTGCCTGGAATTCATTTTATGACTTATATATTTCACTCGTACATAACAATAATGCCTACACGGATGCGGAGAAATTCAGATATTTACTCCTTATTTTAAAAAATGAACCTTATAATTTATTAAACCATTACCGACGCGAACTATTCTGTAGCATTACAGGTATTAATTTTGCGTTATGAGAACAAAAGAATTATAGCATCCACTCATCTCGACAAAATTGTCGATGTTGAACCTTGTTCAGAAAAATCAACAATCAGCTTACGTAACTTACTAAACATTTACCAAGAATACATTAAAGCACTTGAAGTCATGAAATTTCCTACAAACGAATGGAGTTTTATCTTATTAACAATTTTACTGCAAAAAATTCCCTCATCTATCCGCAAACGTTTTGAGTTATCATTAAAATCACCATCAGAAATTCCTGATATCAACACACTAATATCCTTTTTGGAGCGGGAATTGTCCGCAAGCGAAATTTCTCACCCTAATTTAGGTCAGATTACTAAACACGAGGGTCAATCAAAATCAAACGCACCATCAGGCAGCGGCTACCGTCGCTGACACTACAGAAACCACTAACTCTCGGTTGTTATAAGGTTAACACACAAAATGAACAGGGAGTGTCCGGATCAAAGGTCACTACCGTTTCGCGTAGCAACAGTTATTTCTAGAATATCAAAGGCCGCACTAGCTAATATTGTCAAATGCACTTATACAGATTCTGAGTCAGACACAATGAACCCCTGGGAAGCTCTCCAGCATGGAATGCGCGTCACAAATCCTAGACAGAATATTTACTATCCGCGCCTAATTATTCCGAGTTCCCTAACAAAATTGACAGTGTGCTAACTTTAGCACCCCTGACAGACGACTGCTGCGCTTGCGCCTTCTACACACGACCGAAAGTCAAACCGGTATGAATGCACCACGCCGAGCGCCCTCTCGCGTTAATTCTTGAAATTAGCGGATGGCGCGAACAAACCCCCATCCCGGACATAAGGATTTAGGTCCGCGAGCAAACTGGTCAGCGGGACAAGTTCGCGACGGCAAGTTACAAGACCGAATCTACAGCCAAACTAGACCACCTTAGGTGCCCCATCAGGTCTTGCAACCCTAACCAACGCCTCAAAATGACAGCCCCAATGTGGGCAAGCCGGAGGGTTGAACTGGATGCCCTTCTTTGACATCGCAGCCCATAAATAAGTCCTATTCCTAGACAGGAGTCCGACGACCTACTTCAAACACCTATCTGTACTCTTATGATTAGTTCGGCAATCCGTCCGCAAGACGCGACACGAAGCGACCCAGAGTGGCCTCCACAGCTTCAGTGCAGAGATCACCCACAATTCCACGTGAAAGTCGTCTGTGGAGAGCCGAACGAAACGCACAGATTGTCCCTAGTATGAATTTTCAACAAGTAAGCCTAACCAAGCCATCCACCATATAATCATTTGCTAAATAGTGCGACAGCTAATTTCAATCTGATAATCTCCAAAACTAGCTAGCCTGTTAGACAAGTAGTCCTATGCTCATATTTCAACTAATTTTTCAAAAGCATCAATGTTCAACTACAGAATTAATTCAACCAAATTAATCACCGATGCACATAGGTCAATTTGCAAATTAAACAAAACAATAAACGTAAGAGACAGCCCTATTTCTCATTTCAAATAAGTATCTTAGACAGTGCCTACAAATGCGAAAACCAACGAAAGAACGACTCCTTATTCCTTTCGGCACAAATAGGGTTATCTAATTTCAGCCTTCATTTTCACAAAGCAAAATGATTAAACACTATCACAAAACATATACACTATTTTCCAAATAGCGCAACATTCAATTTCAAATGAATTAAAACTTTCCTTTCAGCAAACAGACGCAACAATCAAATACAGTGATTAAATATATTTACAAAACATATGCAGCCGCATTTCAAGGAGTAGATTAAATTCAATTCTTTTAATCACAACCGCTACAAATATGAAACCGATATCACTTGAAATGCTAAGGTCTGGAGAGGGTGTGGTTGCAGGCCTGCTGTGCACCTTGTTTGATTTATGTTGGGAACTGAAACGGGTATCGGAAGACTAGTGCAAAGCCGTTATAGTCCCAATATATAAGGGAAAGGGCTCGCTTCAGGACTGTAAAAACTACCGTAGTATCAGCTTGCTTAGCATTGTTGGTAAACTGTATGCTAATTAATTGAAAGAGTTATGGAAGAAACTGATGGAAAAATTTGGGATGTGCAAGCTGGATTTAGAAAGGGAATGGGGTGTACGGATCAAGTTTTTCCATGCGCATGATTGCGGAGAAGTTTTTGGCCAAAAACCAGAAAAATTTTTGTGCGTTCATGGGCTTGGAAAAAACTTATGACAGAGTGGACAGGAATTGGTTATGGCAAACACTGAACTCATTTGGGTTGAGCGCTGGCTTGATACAGGCATTAAGGTCTTTTTATAGGGACTCTAGTCCTTGTGTCAGGATCAACGGGGTCTACTCGGACTGGTTTGG